GCCTTGACATTGTCGATGGTGTCACTGGCCTCAACATCCAGGGTGATAGTCTTGCCGGTCAAGGTCTTGACAAAGATCTGCATGACGTGTCTTGATTCGAATTTCTTTCAAAAGCTAAGAACAACCTCTTGAGAGGACTGTTTTGGGTTTTCCTTTGCTTTGAGCCAAACAGCAAATAACAATACTCAATCAAGAACTGGTACGTCAAGCACAAATTTGCATGTGTAAAGGGCCTCAGAACATTTGGGTATCTTTCACCTGCTTGGATGTTCAGTCTGAGGATTGCGCGAAGGCCAGGCGTAGAAAAGGATGATGGGAGACCTCGTTTCACTTTAGTCAGACTCGGCCGGCATAGGGCATAGGATTGGTGGAAATTCCGCCATCCAACCTTTGCATCACCAGATTGCAATTTCAATCTGTGAGAGCTCTTTAAATCTTTATTCAGTACTATGATGCTATATAAGAGAAAATGTCCAGGTGTTGCAAATGCATGGAATTGAGTCAGTCACGAGAAGAAGCCAGTGCACGGCAGCTTGTCAAACTGGAGAATATTTGCATCACGAGCGAACAAACATGTGCTCTAATCATACCAACTGGGTTGGGAGAGATGGGATAAATAAAGATCAATATCTGTGGTTCGACTGTACCCTCTGCCGGATTCCGTCGCCTTCGGCTCCGCATCTTCCCACCGCCGAGTCGGAAGCGCCGCCGCCGACCGCCGACCGGAGGTCTTCGGACGCACCGCTTTTTTGGGGCGACGGGTCCAGGCGACGTCGTGCGCCGTGCGTCCGTGGGGTCGATGAGATCGAAGCGAAAAGATGAAGCGGAAAGAAGCTTCAGAAGCCCAGTACTTCGCTGCCCAGTACTTCAGCCCAGTACTGCTGCCCAGTATTCAGGTCTCGCAATTGACAGGTGTCGCAGGCGATCAAAGACAGGCACTGATGCAGGAGAGTGATGGCTTCTGGCACATGCATTACATACACGAACTGATGCACACTCAATCACACTCACTTATGTTGTTGGCCAAGATGGGCAAATGGTTTGGAACCATCGTGAGACGGCAACTCAGGCAACTTATCACACCTTTGCCGAGTCTAAGAGTCTAAGAGCAAAGCTGAAAGGCATTGGACAACTGGCAGTAGATAACGAAAACGAACCGGATCCTTTCTCCGCCTCGTTCGGTCTCTTCACCCTCGGTGATGATGGGCTTCAGTACTGGTCCGAAGCCAAATGAACTTAGGGTCGAAAGGGGAGACTAAAGTGAAGGGTAGACTCTTTTTGGATCTTGTACTCTGACAAGGTGTGCCCATCCTCAAGCTCCTGCCCTGAGAACATCCACCTCTGCTGCTCGGGTGGGATGCCTTCCTTCTCTTGGACCTGTGCCTTGACATTGTCAACTGTGTCGTTGGCCTCGACATGGAGGGTGATCGTCCGGCCAGTCAGAGTCTTCGCAAAGATCTGCATGCCGCTGCGCAGAGGCAGAACCCAGTGGAGGGTGGACTCTTGTTGGATGTTGCAATCGGCCAAAATATGTCCATCCTCCAACTGCTTCCCATCAAAGATCAGCCGCTGCTGATGAGGAAGGACACCCTCCATCTTTTGGATTTGGGCCTTGACATCGCCAATGGTGTCACTGGCCTTGACATCCAAGGTGATGGTCTGGCCAGGACACTTCTTCACAAAGATCTGCATGGCATCCCCTATCCGAAGTCAATCGAACATGTAACAAAGTCTGGACTTGTGCCAGAAAAGAGCAAATGCAGCCAGACCTGTGTCCTCAGACAAATCGCTTCAGAACAATTTCATCATATGTCAAAAAATGATTGAAGTGTTCATGGAATATTGTGGTCATCCTGTTGTCTTGTCTGGGTGCAGCAAACAAGACGGCCACGAGAGCCAAGGTCAAGGCCAAAAGCCGCTGAAACTGCTGTGGTTCACCTCCCACCTTGGCCACAACATACCAAGGCACGGCTGTGGCAAGGCGCTGGACTACTGTAGTTCCAACATAACTGAGTCGTTGGCACAAGGGATTTTCCATGATGTTCACAAAAAGGAAAGTTGTGTTCAAACCTACCAGGTCCTTGCCTTTTTGAGCGGTGCTTCCTTCACTGGTTCACATGTTTCTATGATTCGCATCAAGTTTACCACCTCCAGTGCAAATTCCTGGTCGCAGCTGCAATTTAGTGCCTGCCACGAGAAGGAACACTCTAGAAGACTCCTATGTCAGGCTATGTTGATGTCAAGTTAAAGCCGGTTGACCAGCAACCACCACCACCACTGCAAAATGCATGTCTCTGAAAAATGAATGGAGGTGCCCTCCCACGTTGATTCTAAGGCAACGACCTGATTAGTAGAGACGTAGGTGGGTCATGTCACATGTTCGGTGAACCGAAAACCAACAGTTTCGGTGCCCAGGCCCGCCTCGAAGGTTCCTCGAGGCAAACGATATCCCTGCGCACGCCACCTGTTCTTCACAGCCACTCAAGGCTTTCCATCTGAATGCTTCCAAGGCTGAGAATCAGGCATTGCAGCAAGGCATACGTACCACTCCGAACGAGCACTTGCCGGAGAAATGCTGCCAGTGAAGATCTTGAATGTAGAAGAAACATATTTAGAAACCCACCCGAATAGTTCGCATGGCTACAACAGTTCTGCAAACAGAATGATGCCAGGCATGGCATTGATCACTGCACCATCATCATTGAATTGAGATGTTCTTGCTCACCAAGTGCTTGCGATTTGTGCAGCATTCTGTTTGTCAAGTTGAAAGTCTTGATTGAGAGTCTCAAACAAGCTCGTGAAAATTGCCAATGCAATGGTGGTCCAACATGATAAAAGAACACAACATTTGAGTCAGTGGTCTATCAGCACAAAGGCGCAAAGGACCACTTGACAATCAAAGCACTCAGGCTCCACAAACAGTCAACAACCAACAAGAAAAACAAGCAGACCACCTATGCGGAAAACCTTTTTGCTCAACTCAACGCGCCTGAGGTCAGGATAGCCGAGGAGGAATGACAGTCACAAGATCTGTACAGTTGCTGCAACCTCTGAAATCACCATCAGCAGCCTCGTGCGATGGAATCAGAGAGCTGAAGGTGACGGTCGTCTGAACTCACAGCCCAACTTGATTCCCAGTACACAGCAAATATGTGATATAAGTTATAAGTTATAAGTGATATGTCTTCAAAGGTCTTTAAAACAAAAACATATTCATGAAGCTAGAGCGAAGTTGAGATTAAGCGAGATCCAAAAAGAACTTCGACACTTCTTGGCTTCAAATCGGTGCCAGCAGCAGAAAAGAAAAAAAAACTCACTCAATTCACTACTTCCATGAGCATAATAATGCTTACAAAACCACAATGGACAAACTCCTTGGTTTGTCCTGGCACCACACAAACCAAGAAAAGCAAATCGTGCTCAACGCAAGCGCAAGACCAAGTGCAAAGTGGACTCCTTCTGGATGTTGTAGTCAGACAGGGTGCGGCCGTCCTCTAGCTGCTTGCCAGCAAAGATCAGACGCTGCTGATCAGGAGGGATGCCCTCCTTGTCCTGAATCTTGGCCTTGACATTGTCGATGGTGTCACTGGCCTCGACATCCAGGGTGATGGTCTTGCCGGTCAAGGTCTTGACAAAGATCTGCATGCCTCCTCGCAAGCGCAAGACCAAGTGCAAAGTGGACTCCTTCTGGATGTTGTAGTCGGAAAGGGTGCGGCCGTCCTCTAGCTGCTTGCCAGCAAAGATCAACCTCTGCTGATCAGGAGGGATGCCCTCCTTGTCCTGAATCTTGGCCTTGACATTGTCGATGGTGTCACTGGCCTCGACATCCAGGGTGATGGTCTTGCCGGTCAAGGTCTTCACGAAGATCTGCATGGCTTCGTCTCAAGTCGAATTTTCCTCGATACAGTAGCAAAGCACAACCTCTTGAGAGGACTGTCTAGGTCTTACTTTCTGCTGTGAGCCAAGCACATCGAAAAAGCTCCCAGTAGCGTCCTTGCTCCTAGTAGCGATGCCCCTTGCTCCTAGTAGCGTCCTTGTTACTAGTAGTAAGGCCAGGAGCCCCTAGTAGCTTCCTTGCTCCGTTCGTAGCGATGCCCTTTAACCTGTTCAGGCCTGTTCAGGAACATGGGGCACCGCTTTCGGTCCGAAGGACTCCCGCTCTGCACTGTTTTCTTCGGCTTTCAATCGCTGCACCTCCCCTCCGCTGCCGCCTCCATTTTCACCGGCCTGTGCCGATGTCGGACCCGTTCGCTGTTGTGGTGTGTTCGCCCAAACTCATCCCCAAAGGTGAAAAAAGGTCGATTCTATAGATCAACTGCTCAGCTCCCGGTCAAAAATGATGGCGAATGTCTTGGCTTAAGCAGCACCTTTCAAGCACTGAAGTATACTAAAGTTTAAAGTTAGGTTTTAAGATGTTTTAAGTCTATTTTACTGTATACTGAAGTTAGGTTTTAAGTCAGTCACTCTGTCCAAGTCTTTGATGAGTAGGCAGGGCTTTGATGAGCAGATTCTCTGACTCTTGAAACATCTAGGCGAATGACGCTCCTTTTTGCCCGATGCCGAGCAAACCACGATGACACTATCTCCCTCACAGCCGCATCTCCAAAGCCCGAAATGCGAGGCCAAAGACGCCTCACACGCTCTGGTTCCCATCCGCGACGAGCGAGGCCAGCCCAGAGATGAACCACTTCATCTACCCGTGGCAAGAGAAGCCAAACACAAAGCTCATGATAAGTTCGCCACAGTCGAGGCAATCGCTCTGCCTGCTCTGGCTCGGCTTTCCATCGTTCCAGCCGACCGTCCTCCAGGCTGCCCCGCGCGGCGGCGTCGTCGATGGTGGTGCGGGTGGTGTTTGGGGGCCAGGCTGAAGATCTCTCAAGTTGCAAAAGCAAGTTGCTGGCATAGTCCAAGGTGAGATCTGCTCCCCTTTTCCCCAAGTCTGAAACGATCGAGGTCAAGCTGCTTGGACAAGCCTCCCATCCCAAAGTCTCTGTCACAGCGGCTTGCAAATCTCGAATTTCGGCGTTGCTCTGTCTTAAGCGCCCATCCTTCAAAACGGCCTCAACTACAGTGTCAAGAGAACATGTACGACTGATCTCCTCTGCAGAAACCAGGAGTTTGATGTGATGCTTCAGTCTGGAAGCTATGGCCTTGTACAGCTCTTGCATAAATCGTTCACAGCTTGCACGTCTCTGCGTCAATTGGTTCCACACAGGATCACTTGGCGCAAAGACGGCTTTCATGCCGGAGGCTGCTTGAAAGATACGCCTCCAGGCTTTACAAGTGCAAAGCAATTGTGAAAAGCGCGGCTCGAATTTGGATTCGATCTGTTCCGCTTCGTGGGCCCACTGGTGCCAAAGTCTCTCCCAACGGTCTTTCATCTTCTGCAAAGCGATCTCCGGCTTAGGCAGGCGATTTCGCACATCCCGGAACCAGGCCAACAAAAGGGAGTCAGAACGTAGTCTCAAAAACCGCTTCAGCTCTTCCTCTGAGCCTTCGGATGGAAGATCGGTGACTCCATCTACACAAGCACAGGCATGAGTCACTAAGAGCCCCAGGAACTTCACCCATCCCCAAATCAAGAGCGGTTGATTAAAGTCGCCACCTGGAAATTGTCGAAACTCAATGGTGGCACGGTCGCTGCTTTGAGCAATGCGCATGATGTTCAGCTTGCAGTAGCGGGTGCCATGTCGCTCAAGAATCAAGGCATCTCGGAGCAACCAGTGATCGACACTCGCCGCTGGAATCTCATCCGGTTTCTGAAAGATGCACTGGAGCCGCGCCTGGTCATCCAGTGCCTGCGACGAAAATTGCGCACCTCTTCTTCAAGGGAACAGGGACAGGGGACAAAAAAATAAGCATAACAATCTCTATGTTGATGCCATCGGGGAAAAGAACTAACCTGTGTCAGGTGCTCAGGCTTCCCAAATGAAGTTTCCCTTTCAGCAAATGATGTCTCTCCCTTTCACTCTCCAAGTCTCTTCCAGTGCAGTCCACGGTGTTGGTGGGTCAGCCAAGCTCTCTTCAGCACTTGAACCAGCCTTTGGGCCACCCTCACCGTCTTTGCCCCACAAGGCTTGAAGCTCTTGAGATGTTGGAGGTCTCCAAAGGCGACGACCATCTGTGGAAAAGAGCTCTTTCAGGGCCATTCCTGCTGGCAGCAGCAGCTGTTGCCCATTCGCATCTGATGTTAAGATTGGCCTCTTTAAGCGCCAAAGTCCAGCTTCCCCCAGCAACGCGAGCATCAAGGCCTCCTTCGTGGTAGTGATTCGACAGCCATTGATGCAGGCAGCTCGAATCTCTGGGCTCATGCCCTTGATGGCAGCTACTGCAGAATCAATGACCGAGAAAAGCTGCTCGTCTGAAGCGCATTCCCCGAGACCTTGCGCACGTCCCAGCACTTCTCGAAAGTCCCGGCAGAATCGGTTGCGCTGCCTAGTGACCGGAAGAAGAAGCTTGTTGATTGCGGGTTCAAAGCGCAAATAGACTTTGAGAATTGCTCCAACTTCCTCCAGCACCCAACATCGAGTCGAACCATTCAATTCAAAAGAAACAGAACCGACCAAATGGCAACAATTGTCTTTCTGAGCGAAAATCATGGCATGCCCACAGACACCTAGGAGATCCGGATTGATGGAATTCCTTTTAACTTGTAGCAATAGCCAACGGCAGAAACGTATCAAATGTATATATAGCATGTTGGAAAGTGCGATTTAGCAGTAGGTAAAGTTCTCTCAACTTCAGCCGTGCATGTATGCAAGAACATGCCTTTTGATCAGATAATACATGATAATACCTTTCAGCAAGAAATCGGAGTTCGGAACCGAAGCTAAACCCTCCTCAACAGAGAAGAAGCCAGGATAGCGACCGATGTGGACATGCAAGCCAGTAGATTCATTGGTTTGAGCCTTGATGGGTGGCTGCCGCAGTGCATGGGTCATATCACAAAACAGTGTCACATCCAATTCCTCAAAGCCCATCCTCTTGGAGACCAGCTCCACCGGGAATGGATTCTTCCCCTCTGGCACGATGGAGCCGTCTGCTGTAGCGGTCCACAGGCGGCCCCAGTCCGACTGGCTGTCGGCCGACACGCGGCAGCGGCCACTGAGCCGCTCGGAGAGGGCGTGGGCCACGAGGGCGAAGAGCTCTTGCGGGTCTTCAATGGGTAGAAGCCGATCGCAGACCAAGGCGCCCAGGTCTGGCAGGAAACATTCCTGGTCTGGTTTGGATAGGAGTGAAATTTCACTACAAACGGGTTTCAAAAAGGTGCCAGGCGTTCAAAAGACCTACTCTGAGGGCTTTGCGGACCAAAATCCAATACGAAACAAATAAGGTGAAATTGACAAATCTGAACAAGCTCAGCGAAAATGCTTGGTGGATGCCATCGAAGGTTCCAACTCCAGGCCTATGGACAAACGTTTCTGGCCTTGCTCATGCCAACGCAGGACCGCTTGCACGGAGTCGCTTCGGGAAACAGGATTGATCTCTAGATGGGAAGCTTCCACATCCATTGCACAAGAGAAACTCTGCTGAATTGACAAGTTGTGCTCTTCTATCGAAAAAGACGGTGAAATGCAATGAAATGCATACCAGTATGTATTGAAATTGAAATACTATAAATCCTGCTTGGTCATTCCACCAATTCGCTTAATGCACGTGCACCTCCAAAAATGGTATAGGTGTGCGGTAGATGTATATGAAGAATTATGAAAAGGTCTTCACTGCTGTCCCTGGTGATGCCTGTAGAGCCCCCAAAAAATGCACCAACCCTGCCCCAATGGCCCTGTCGCCGTGCTCGTTCTTCTTCGTTCGCCCACGGCGCCTGCGAGGGAGATCAGCTCTAGGTCGGCACACCTCGGCCACAAATGCTCGGCACGAAAGCTTCGAAGGTTTTTCGAACCAGACTAGGGCGATCAAAGGGGTAACATGGGGTAGGCAAAAGAGAAGGAAGCAGCCATACACATCTGTCGGAATCCTGCATGAAATTGCTCACTCCGCCCATATACATCTTTCCAGTACTGGTAGATTTGATGCAGCAGCGAAGGGCCAGCACGGATTCTACATGGCCGTCTTCATGATCATAAGAAACCGCCTGAGCCCTGAGCTCGAAAGGTAAGGTTGATGCGGGTTCCAGCCATACCACCATGAGGCCTAAGTTGTGCTTCATGAATAGTTACAAAATAGAACGCCACAGAAGGTGCTCAAGAAGGCTCTCGAACTTGGCGTTCCATGCTTCTTCAACCAAAGCAATTCCAGATCTCTTACATGAAGTATCTGAGGAATCTACACCCCATGAAGGTACTGCTGCTGCATAGCCCCACCTCAGCTTGGGCAACCATCTGCAATCCAAACACACACGCACCAATGATCGAATTTAAATGCCACCAGGTAGCCCATAACAAACCACGCGCCGTCGGCAAGCGTGACGACCTGTGAGTTTTGAAGCAGCGGGGGGCCGAGAGCATTTTGAGCCAGGGGAAGGTCAAAAAGCCAGGGGGAGATCAAGAAAGTTCTAACAACACCCAAATGTCTCTGCGAAGAACTCTAGGTGTTGGCTTGGCAAACCCTCGCAGGGCAAATGCAGCATGTCGATAATTTGGGTGCGCAAATCTGCAAAACCATGGAACATGCTTTACGATTGTTGGACAAGACCGGGCACCTGGTACACGTGAAGGAATAAGATACTTCACAACACCATGGAAGTTCATAAAGCTCTTTAATCTTCACACATATTTGAATTCATGAATCATCACAAATTATGCAAAGCCAAATATTGAGCATCTTTCTAAAGATTCTGTGAACTTTCATGGACATTCTGCCGTCCTTTTCTTGAGGCCACCGACCCACTTCAGTGACTCATTGGCCCTGTCCTGCTAGGAAAAATCAGGATAGGACAGGTGTATGTAGAATCAGAAACACTCGTCTTGGTAGAAAGGAGGAGCACCTTTCTTATCTTGACAAGCCACGAATAGAACAACTGCTGCCCATTTGTATTACAGTATATATGATATATGTATAGTTGAATTTGTAAGTCTATAAATGAAGGTAGCTACCACCGGTCAGAAGTACTGAAGCTTCGCAGGCAGCATGACCTGGATGACAAAGTCCCTGGTGGCTCCAAAGCTGACCTCGTGCCCCAAAAAGGGCCCACGCCGGTGCCACCCGAGTAAGTGGATTCCGCCAATCCAAAGGCGCTTGCTTTGTCCCTGAAAACGACTGGGATTTCACATGAGATCTACCTAGCTTCTCAATCTACATGCAAACCCAGTTCGGGTTTCTCAACCTGTTTGCGGCCTGAAAGCTCCTGGGCTGTCTTTTGGAGGAGCATATACCATGTCCGACATGTCCAGCATGATTCAATCTGGAAGCCATTTCACTCATATGATCGCCTCGACACAAATGAGGCCTCCACCGACACGATGGGCGCATCTCGGTCCAAATCAGGTTCGTTATCTGCATGCATTCCCAGCCTAGGGCTCTCGTGGTTGGAGGCCATCGCTATCAGGTTGGAAGCCACTGCAATTAGGTGGAGGCCATCGCTATTCGTAACAAGAAGCTATGAGTAGCAAAGGGCATTTCTACTAGGAGCAAGGACGCTACTAGTAGCTCCTGGCCTTACTACTACAGTAGTAACCAGGACGCTACGAACCTGGCAGTTTCAGCGTTGGGACCGCTGCGTGTGCCGTGGAAAGTCGTAGCGGTTCATCTGCGCTGAGTTAAAAATGACCTGCAAACGCCATGTCAGGTTCATGTGATTGTAGGTAAGTTGCAATGTAATTATTTGGAAATCAAGCGGATGCGCAAGTTGGGAAACGCAAGTACAAGCATATCCAGCATTACACTTGATTTTGCAAAGCAATATATACTACTTTGCGAGATACGTACAAGCACGCAAAGGGCAGACGGGCAGACAGCGCTTCTTTCTATGCTGCAAACGGGGTCTGTCTGCAGTTTCTGCTGTTCGGTCAGAGCGCACCAAAACCTATACATCTCAGCGCAAGCAACAACTGCATCATGAGCAGGTCATTTGCTCCGTGAACTACCACGCAAGCTAGACCTCACTTTGGAATCTCATGCAGCAAAGATCGCTTTGGCCTTGGCGTAGAGTGCCTTGCCCTGTGCTGTCTTTCCACCCACAGCACAGAAGCCCTTGATGCCCAGCTCCTTCCTGGCCTTCTGACAAGCGATGGTCCAGGCAGAGATGTTCTTGTAGGCCTTCTTGCCAGCGGCATTCTGCAACTTCGTCACAATCTTGCCTCGTTTGTTCTTCATGAGATCCGATTTGCCATGCCCTGATGCAGTCTTTTCCTTGTTGCCATTAAAGACCACAGCTTTGGCCAGCTTGCCTCGCGCAATCTTGCTCACAGCCTTCTTCTTCATGACTTTGGTCTTCATAGCTGTTGACTTAGCAGCCTTCTTCATAGACTTCATGGCGGACTTCATCACCGACTTCTTCATGGGAAGCGCCATCGCTGAAGGACACGAACGCCAACGTTGCAAGCTTAAGGCTGCAAGAGCTGAGGCAAGCTTGGGCCAGCCAGCAGTTGTGTTGACACAACCAGGCAATCTCTGTGTCCATTATATAGATCCATAGGATTCTACCATTCAGCCTATGACGCATGCGCTAGCAATGGCCTCTGGCAATCCGCATTTGACTAGGCCCTCCTCTGCCTCACAAGTGCTTTTTGTGCAGCACGTTGCATGACTGCTAATGGCTAGGCGGCTAGGCTAGCTGATGACCAAAGAGCCTCAAACGCTTTGCTCACTCCCAAGTCTCATCTCTGCAAGCCTTGCGCTTGATCTCGAGCACTGCGGGGTGCCACGTCTGTCCCATGTTCTCTCGCCCAGAGTACTCGTAGCAAATGCCTCTCTCGTGGTGAGCGGTGGCTTTTCGGCGAGGGCAGCAGTGCCGAAAAAGACGAGTTGATCTGAAAAGTAAGCAACTGATCCCTTCTATATACCACAAAATCCAGCCAACCAGAAGAATATTCAAAGAAACTAAGCGGCTGGCCAAACTGCGGCGCTGCCGTGTGACAACGCCGTTTGACCCACATCCATATTGAATGCCGTCCCGATTCATCCCCAAAAACTCGAAACAAGGTCACAAAGAAAAACGCAGGCGCCTACTTCCAGACGCGCCAAAAAAAACACACACACGCCATCTTAAGGGACCCAATTGAACTATTTCAACCGGATCGATCGCCTGGATCTGACATGAAGAGGGTCCGTCGTGGCTCATCCACGGTCGCCACCTCGGCGCCGCTGTCACGACCTCGGATGCAGGGTCCGCCGTGTCCTTCGCTTCGCCGCGGCGAACGAGGTCCGCACTCTTCACCGTGACCAGCTGGTTCTTCCAGCCGATCTCTGTGGTCAGAATCTGCCGAACAAACAAAGCTCCAACAAGATATTGATGTTCTACAGAACATCACAGAATATGCTGGAAATAAGCAAGGCAACACGTCGTTGACATTGGTTGTCCAACATGAAAGATCATGAAAGTTCCAAACACAAACAGAGCCTTTAAATATCTGTCACATTCTTCGACGGTGAAATAGTTTTCCAACCTCAGCTCCGCTGCAAGCCACAAGTGCCACGGTTTCGTCCTGCTGACCAGTCACAAGATGGCGATAGCGTTGGGGATCTCAAACTCGCGATGCCTCACCTCCAAAACAGGGACCTCGGAGCAGGTGCAGTCTGGCGTCGAAGTCTGACAGGATCTGTTCTTTTGCGCCAAGGATGGCACGGCTTCGGCCTTTTTCTCTTTCCTTCGACGATGCAAGCACAAACATTCTAAGAAGATTCATGCTTGAGCTTCGCTGCGACTTGGGTAGAACATGCTGCCCAAACGACGAGAAAAGAAAAGTTTAAAGCATGATTAGCTCGCCTCCCCCATCGAGACTTTTTCTCTGCCATGAGGCAACTCCTTCACCTTTTCCTCACACTTGCCCTTGGAATATGAGCAGTTCGTTTTTCTGGTCTGTTCTGTTCTTTTCCTTGCTTTCTTTCTTTCCTTCCTTCCTTCCTTCCTGTCTGTCTGTCTGTCTGTCTGTCTGTTTTTTTTTTATCGTGTTCTTTCTCTTTCTTTTTTGACAGATGAAAGGGAAGGGGACAGTCCAAAGGTATGCGGCTGTGCTTGTCTGCAAAAGCAGTTGAGGTGTCGACAATTGCAAGTTGTCAGATGACTGGTTTTCAGGTTTGGACAAGTACACGAGGCTACAATTTGTACTGTCAAATCGTTCCAAGGTGTTGATGTTAGCAACTATCAAGTCTGAATCTTTGCTTCCTGGGTGGTCAAATGCCACCCCAGCCCAACTTCCTAGCATTCTAAAGCGAACATTGTGCCAACCCTCAACAGAGAAAAATGGATGAGTATGATGAGTAAGCTGTCTTGCATCAAGCACTTGTGGCTCATGACTTTGCTGCCCTCCTGTGAGCCCAAACATCTTGGATCATCCTTTGAGGTGTTCTTGTTTATGGAGCCCCTAGGCGGCGTCCTTGCTCCTAGTAGTAAGGCCAGGAGCCCCTAGTAGCTTCTTGTTTATGCCTCCCTGTTCCTTGGAAGCAGACTATCATGTTGCAAACTTTTTCACTGCCACTGAAGCTTTGCAGGGACAGGTCTTCCTTGGAGATGGGGGCAGGCCTCAAACAAGCTTGGAAATTGGATGCTGTTGTGGAGAAAGAGGTGTGCATGTCTGCTGGGAAAGGAGATGTGCAATTTATTTACCTGTGGATTGTCCATGGCATACTAGTCAATGCAGACGAAGCGCGGACAGTCCGTTGGAATTGGAAAATCTAGACAGCAAGCAAGGGCTTCAAGAAAGGAGACAATCCTGAGGCTCCAGCTCTGACTTCACACCAGCCCCGGGCCTCTCAAAGGAACTCAAGACAGCTACCCAAGTTGATTTTAGATGGTGTTTTGCCTACTGCTTATTGTCCTACATAGTTCTAAATGTTTTGAATCTATTCCTTTGGCATCTCTGAAAAAAAAGTGCGCCAACTTAGTCACAGAATCTCGCAGTCCTCCAGTCTCCGGCTGTGCCAAGGAAGGCGCTCTCCGCGCCTGAAAACAAAAATAATTCATGTGCGTTGTCATATGGGTCGTATGGAGTTTGACTCCACATATGGGGGATTAAAGAACAATTACATACCTCCAGGTCGTTTACAAGCATTACATAGGTTAGGTATTGTTTGGTCACCCAGAGTCATAGAAAGGCATGCTTTGAAGAAAATGGTTATCTTGAAACGGAGATCCTAACCAGCAACAATGCCTCACTCGGTCCCTTTCTTCAACTTTCTACTGCCGAAGGTTTCGAAATTTCCTTCAGACCAACTGAACATCTGTCAGCCCATCGCAATTTCGATATAGCAGTGGAGCAACTCTTGATTCCAAGGATCGCTTTATTCCTAACTAAAACGAGACCGCCAAGGTGCGTTGTTCCCCTCCCAGTCACCTGCCGGCCTCTCCCGAAGCGCCTCCGTTGCCGGTGTTGTTGGGCCTTTCCAAAGAAGAAATGAAATCCATCAAATTGGCCCAGGAAAAATCCCAAAAATCCCCAACAGTCCGTTACAAATTCCAGAGGAGGTTGTGGGGCATTTCAAGATTCAACGATGTTCCGGAGTTTCTGAGCAAGCTTTGCAACAATTTTGCTGATGCGGCTGGGTCGGCGTGGCGTTTGGAAACTAAAAGGTTGGTTTCGGAAAACAAAAAACGTGGGTTTCGGAAACTGTGGTTCAGAAAGACAAACGTGGGTTTCGGAAACTGGGTTTCGGAAACTGGAAAGGTGGGTTTCGGCAACTCGTCAAATATGTTCGGAAATTGTGGTTCGGCAACTAGGAACGTGGGTTTCGGAAACTGAAAAGTTAGTTTCGGAAACTAGGAACGTTGGTTTCGGCAACTGGAACATGGGTTTCGGCACAACTGCAAGCATGGGTTTCGGCAACTGGGAACGTAGCAAGAGCTATGTTTGCGTAGCATGCGCCGCGGACGTCATTATCCCTGACCCCACCTCCCCCCCCACCCACCCCAATATCCATTGCAAAACGACAAGGACAGTCTCTGAAACCGACAAAAACCAGTTGCTGAAGCCGACAAAACCATTTGCTGAAACCGAAAAATCCAGTTGGTGAACCGCAGTTGCCGAACGGTGAAACCGACTAAATAGTTTCTGAAACCTAGTTGCTGAACGCAGAGTAGTTGCTGAACATTACTTTATTCGATGCGGCTGTGAGTCAAAACCTTCCCTGTGAAGCTCCATCCGTGCTGGATGAGAAACGCTATCTATCTATGTTGAACACTGTTGCATGGAATCAATACGATCACAAGTCCTCCGCCAGAGTTTACCCCAGTGGAATCCCATATGTAAAGGCCAGAAATTTGGGACCTGAGCTGTAGCATTTGAGCTGCTTTTGGCAGCGCTTTCAATGCAATGTTTGTCAAGGCTGATAGCTTTCAGTCAGGACAGGAATGGGACGGATCATCCCATGCATATCACAGATCTACAGGTCCATTAACCGAAGACCTGACACCAGAAACCAGGTCAATCGGATATGCACTTCGTTATGTTGGCTCTAGTGGAAAAAGGGCGTGAGCAAGTATAGATGCCCTTCATGGTAGCGGAGCTATCCTGGAGCAGATCCTTCTATGCCTTCTGGTCAGACTGGGACGGCAGTGAGTGAGGATCAGCTTCTGGAGCAGAGGATCCAAGGCCTAGCTGAAGCCTATGGTTTGTTGGCACCTGCACCAACATCTAGCGGTTTAGATTTGCCTGGACAAGCACTGTTTGCCCCAATGCCAGAGAACGGGACATTTGCTTCGTTTGACCCTTTGCAACAGAATGCACCGCTCGGGGCTCTTTTCCCAACGGCCAGCTGAATGTCTCAACTTCTGCAATGGGAGAGGATCTGTGCGCCACCAACGTCAGCATCCGTATCGCGCAAACAAGTGACAACCTTCCCGAGAAGAGTAGCCCCCGTGCAAAGAGAGGGAATAGATCGAAGAGCCTGTGGTGGGAAAGCTTGAGAGTGAAGATGCGACGGCCATGTTTCATGGAGCCTCCACTCAACAACCATGTTCCAAGAACCTTCACGCACCGCTCGGGGGCTCTTTTCCCACCAGCCAGCTGAATGTCTCAACTTCTGCAATGGGAGAGGATCTGTGCGCCACCAACGTCAGCATCCGTGTCACGCCAACAAGTGACAACCTTCCGGTATATTTGCATCAGCTCAATCAGCAGTCAGAAAAACCAAAAGAAGCCTAAAACCCAAACGTGGCCCATCTTTGCCCCGCCCTCTGGAATTCCGTCCCTCAGACCAAACAGCGTTCAAAGTTGGCACCAATACGTTCAGCGAGCTTCATCTTCATGCAAAAGACGCGAATGAATGAAATCACCCACAACTGCACCTCCAGACTCACCAATCAAAGACTCAAGTGGCACTGCTACACTTCCACAAGAGGGCAAAGACAGGAGCTCTGGAACGTAGGGCTTCACCGAGCAAGGGGCCTGGTCTTGCCCATACCCGTCAAAAGCGTGGAGCTGCCGTAGCGCCCCTTCGCCGGTCCCCAGGAGGGGGGCCCAACTGCTTGACTGAATTCTCAACACGTTGCAAGGCAGCCTTCTGAGCAGATGACCATGTCGATGTCGACTTCGCAGCACCAACCTTATCACCACTGCACAAGGCATTCAAACACCTAACGCATTCCTCAATGTCCTCATCCATATGAACCTGTCTCTCAAGCCTCCTCTGCACTTTTCGGCAGCAATGGCCTTTCATCCAGGCCCGTGGCATAGAAGAAGGCAAAGGAAAATGCTCCTTGGAACGGACCGCTCTGCAGAATCAAATTCAGGGCCAATGCGCATGCGCCCACCGGTCGGCCCCCTCCGGAAGGCAGCGCTATGCTCTATAAGGCTTATACTATAAGGGTTCTCCTCCTTGTTCGGCTTCTTCTTTGTCTTCGATGCGCGCTCCCTTTCCTCCCTTGCCTTGCGAAGATTCTTCGCCAGCAGGACCTCACGCTCTGTCTCCTCCTTCACGCGCGACAGCAAAGCAGGAGAGATCATGAGAGTTCCAGCACGCCCCACAACGGAGCCAAAAACATATTGTTCTTCCAACGCAAGCTTACCACCAGCAAGCCTACTCCTACTCTCAGCTTCACGAGCCTTCTCAGAGTGACTATACTCTCTGGTTTGCAAGCGTCTGAACATAAGCTCAATGCCCATTGAATTGCATCCATTGATTCCATCAACCTGCAACAAATTGCGGAGCATGACTGACAGTTGAAAATGCTCTTGCACAGCCCGTGAACCTGCGTCCAGTCGACAGATCTGTCTGAAGCGCTCATGATGCTGCTCCAGCCCCAAACCCTCGATTGTCAAATAGTTCATACACCATTGGGCCGTTCTCGGCCCTTTCAACTGCCAACCCATGTCGAACTCCTTGGCCAATGCAGCAATCTCCCCAAGTGGCAATTCAGGTGAGCCCAATGAGTTCAGCCTCCTAGGAACAATCCTCCCATCACGCAAAGCAGCTCGATTGTTAAATTCAAGGCAACCCGTGTTGACACCAATGCACATGCAAAACAAGGCTCGCCCATCAGCTACTGTGTGAACTGTCTTGGCATCTTTCACTGGTGCAGCTGTCACCCCGTCAATGGGCTGCCCATACCGAATACCATCTAAGGCTTCAGCGGCAACCCACGTTGGAATTGCTGGAGTCAGATTGGAAGCTCCAGGGCCTTTCTCATCGTCTGAGCTCTGACCACTAGCGAAGGTGGCAGCGGGTGGTGCTACTGGCAGCGCTCCTCCCGCTCCAGCATTTCCTCCACCCCCCCTGCTCGCCCCCGCTCAGCCTCTGCAAGCCGACGAGCCTCATCACGAATGCTCGCCAACTGGGCAGGCGTCCAACCTGGCAAGCCGTCGCCGTAGACCTGAGCCGCAGCAACACCTGGAAGCAGCTGATTGGGAGCCGGACGAAGTCGAAAACTGCGAAGGTCAGGGTTCTCTGGCGATATCAACAGCTCTGTGTATATATCTCGATCTGGAGTGCAAATGACATACTCGTCCCCCCGGACATGGTCAAGGAGCAGCCTTTCGTGTATCACGACTGGCCTCCCCACGTCGTACTCAAGGAGGGCCAATCGATTGGTGAGCATGTCTTCTCACAGCCCAATACTGACAAAGTGAACACACTAATGCCAAACCAGACCCCACTCAGCACTAGAGACGGCACCAAGACCAAACGCTGGGGGGCTTGTGGTCGAAGTCAGTGATGGCTCTCCCTCAACACAAAACTTGAGGGTCTCAGAGACTGCCCGAGCCACAGCTCGTTCAAGAACAGTAGGGTCAGGCCCTCTCAAACTGAACCACCACACCACAGGGCGAGTGATCAAAAGCTGCCCCCAAACCACCCAAAGGACCAACGACCAGCCCATGGCACGAGGGAACCTTAAAGCTTGAGAGTGAAGATGCGACGGCCATGTTTCATGGAGCCTCCACTCAACAACCATGTTCCTAGAACCTTTATGATCCATGGCCGAATGCACAACCAGCTTCTTCCACAGAAGAGAATCCTTTTGCCTTTTGCTAGCGCTGCTAGTGTAGGTTCGACAAACACCAATAGTCCTCCAGCCGGGCTGCAGCAGTCACGCAAAGCACAGTTGAAGTTTTCCGTGGAAATGAGGACAGAAATCGTTTCAGACGTTCTGAGAAGTGGATCCCTGCCAATCCAGTTCCACCACATGACAAGTGGACCACCCGACCTAAAGAAGTAGAACAAAGGCAAGGGGAAATCCAAGACTAAGAAAGGCCAGCAGCGAGCAGCAGGATTCTCTGAACCATCCGACTATTGGTCTGACTATGATGAAGGCTGGGATGAAAGTTGGTACGACGATGATCAGTGGTCGGAGATCAGTGACGGAGGACGTCTCACTTCGTTCGTTGGGGTCGTGACCCCAAGTTTCCGTACGTTGATCCATACTGCACTTCTCAACAACCGGACACATTAAATCGCCACCGTTTCTATTCAGTCGCATGTTTAAACAGAATAGCACAGCACCATGCTTGCCATGTGATCTGCACAGAGAGCCAAGAGCGTGCATACCAGAAATGGAGCCAGAAGCCAGAAACAATGGTCAGAGGTTCTGGTTTTCGATCGCAAGTGGATGAAGGGCGTGAGCGAGTACAGTGGCTCTTCATGCCACGAGGTTCGATTCGATCGATTCGCGCTACCCGTGGGTCGGTGGAGCGATCCAGACCAACCAGTTGCAGAGATCAAGAGACCGACAGATCCATGAACCAGAAGACCGACGCCAGAAACGAGAGGCCGATTATGTAATCACCCGAGATCCCTGGGCGCGAAGCTCCATCCGTGTTGGATGATGTACGCTTCGGCGTACGCTGAAGAGTGTTGCTACAGTACAAGTACTCTGCCAGAGTTGACTCAGAGTTGACCTCAGTGGAATCTCCGTATGTAAAGGCCAGAGACCAGAGAACCAAAGGCCGAGCTGTAGCAATTGAGCTATTTTAGCAGCGCTTTCGACGCTGTACGGCTGATAGCTTTCAGATCAGCACGCAGCAACATTGCAGTTTCAGATGCACCGTGCGTCAAAAACAGGCGATTGTAGAGTTTCCTGCGCGAGCTTTCAAGATGATCTTGGATGAGCAGAGTTGCGCATGGACGTTACATTTGAGCCTAGGATTGAGCATGCCGGAATTGTTGGGGAGCTAGAGGTTGCTAGCTGTAAGATAGATCAAGGGGGAAAATCAAGGAGTCAGAGTGAGTCAGAGCGCAGACCAAGATAAGAATGACAGGACAATAGGTTCATGAAGCCAGACATGAGAGATGTTACATGGAGCCGCGCAGTGATGCGATTGATGCAAGGGTGCACAGCGCGCGTTTGTCGAGTTCAAGATGGAGCGCGCGCGTGGCAGAAGAATGGTGAAAGATTGACATGTTCATGGTTGGAGTGCAACGCTAAGGTTGTGTCCAGACTCATGATCGAAGCAGGTCACGCGAGATGATTACCTAGGGACTCAGGAACAGGTTGTCAGACACAACGCATTGTACGTTCAACGTTGGCAAGGCAGGGAGACGAAGAGCCTTGAACGTCAGCGTTTCCAAGATTTGCAACATCAAGTATTCAGTTTGGTAGGCATGACTAGATTGTTGCAAGGTGCAGACAAGCTTGGCAACGGTAGGACGTTGATAGGTATGATAGGAAAAGCCGATCGCGTTGCAAGCATATGTTTCAGAAGGCGTTGGAGCAGAAAGCATTACATGTGTTTGAGCATTCGGCAGTTCAACAGACGTGTGAACAAAGACAATGGGGTAGATCTCATTGTTTCGAGTTGCAAAAAAGCGCACACGTTCAATTGTTTGACCTTGTCAGCGCAGCTTCAGGAACAAGGAAACTGTTGGTTTGGACGGATCGTGTGACCCCAGCCAGCTTTTCAGGTAAGATCGAACACATGACGCCTGAAGTTTGTCCTGCCAGCCCCAACCACTTGTTCGCGCATGGACGTTGAGGCCAGCCCAGGGAAGACAGATTGGTCGTGGAGAGTTCGATCAAATGTTCGCGCGCTTGTTCGTTGAAGGAAAGGGTCGTTTCAGAAAGTGAACAAGATGTTGACACGTCAAACCGAGCAGCCACAAAAGTCGTGAAGAGGTAGTTCAGGTTTGAGGGCGCAGAGGCATGCGATCAGTCGATGTAGAGCCTTGAGCATGAAAAAGGGCAGGTTGTTCGACAGAGGAATGATCGCTTGCAAAGCATTACATGGTCAGTTTGACGTTGGCGAAAAGGCAAATGGGAGTTGCCAAAGGTTTGAGAGCCGATTGGTTGGTAACAAGGGACAACCAAGACTAGGTGCAGTTTGCCTAAGTTTGCAAATTATGTGTACAGTTCGCGTGAACCTTGAAGATGTCGAGGCTCAAGTGAAAGACAGGTTAGCCGTGTATGGTTTTCTGTTGCGTCGCATGGAATGCGATGTGATCCAAGGGATCGTGACAGGTTGTCATGACCAGATGTGCTTTCGCGCGTTTCCAAAGGAAAGGTGTCAAAGGTTTGCGCATAGTAGGACGACGGCTTTGCAGACGGAGTTGCAGATTTGATTCAGCAGAATCGCAATTTTCCAGAGACAATCTTTGATGGTCACCACCATGTCAACCGAGGTGGGTCAAAATTGTCATGACGTTGAGATCTCATGTTTCAAGATGTTTCAAGAATTTTCAAGAATTTCGGCCGAATGTGTATCACTTTAGCAATTTGCCATTTCAATGGTAGATCACATTTCAGTTTTTGCACAGTTCGATTTCAACAATGTTGAAGGTTCGATCACAATCGTGTTTCATCCAACGGTAGCCATGTCCAAGCGATCTCGATCTAGAGTCTAGAGACGGGGCGAAGTACTGCAAGGAGGGCATCTCATGATCCTTCAGGTTCGTCTCCAGGAGATCGGAAGAGAGCCCTACCAAGATCTACCGGCGCCAGAACCGCACAGCGGAGTCCATATGAGTTTGCAGAAGATGCCGCAGTAGCCGCTGCTTTGTTGGAGCAAGAAGGTCCAAGCAGGTCAAGAGCTGAAGTTTCTTCTGGAGTATCCAATTCGGCAGAGCAAAGCAATGTTTCAGAGAGGCCCACAATGCTTCCGAGCGATCAGATGCCTCGAGTTCGATCCGACGGCTGAAAGCCACTTCCTCGTATGGATATAGTCACCAGTGAATGAGAAGACCCGACTGATTGGAGATTGGAACGGGTTTTTTGAGCGCTGCGCCAATTTGCTTCAGCAGCATGTGATCGCGGGGCTTCAATGCTGTGAACGCATTGACTTTGCACGTACGATCGATGGCATGGAGCTCCACGGTGGTCGGCCTCCGATGTGAACGGTGTGCGTCAATTTAAGCAATCGCTTTTGATGGAACACTTCGCTGTCTGTCCCAGCTGCATGGTGAATAAAGGGAAGATGCGGGTGGAATGATTTCAAACGTTTCAACTTTTCCTGCCCCCAAGATCCACGAGATTCCGGCCCTAATTCTTTGGACCAGACTTCAAAGCCTCAACGGTCACTGGAACGCAGCTTTCGATGTTCTGATGGTTCGTGGAAATTCTTAACGCAACCCATTCAGCATGGGGGGGTGAAGCTCCATCCGTGCTGGGTGATATACGCATGTCTGTGTATGCTGAACAGCGTTGCAAGGAATCAGTACGATCACAAGTACTCCGCCTAAGCTTATGCCAGTGGAATCCCATATGTAAAGGCCAGTAATTTGGGAGCTGGGCTGTAGCATTTGGCAACCCTTTCAATGCATTTTTTGTCAAGGCTGAAAGCTTTCTGTCAGCACAGGAATGGACGGATCATCCAATGTATATCACAGATCCACAGGTCCATTAACCGAAGACCCGACACCAGAAACCAGGTCAATCGGGTATGCACTTTGTTACTTTGGCTCAAGTGGAAAAAGAGCGTGAGCGAGTATAGATCCTCTTCATTCCCAACCAAACCATGGTAGGGTGACACCCCTTATAGAGGAATCTGTTCATTCTCAGGGGTCAACTAGGGTAGCCGGGCTTTGACCCACACACGTGCGTTGACATCATGTTTTGCTGCCATTGTCAGGGTGTGTAGTTCTGAGATGTCATCAAGCTGGCACGCTGTCGCGCTGGCGTGCTGGTGCGCCGCCAAGCTACCACGCTCCTATAATTTGCGCTGCCACGTCGACAATGCGTTGCCCCTTTGTCATGTTAAGTCAGCTGCAAACATGCTGTCACGCTGGTGCGTTCGCTGACATGGTGACACGCTGTCAGGCTGACTTGCTCAGGCTGAGACGGTCGCCGATGTACTGACATGGTGTTATGTTGGCGTGGCGTTTCTATATATATATATATACTGCACATACGGTTGTCATGTGGACTCACCAGTAAACACGCTAAAATGTTGTCACGCTGATAGGCTGGCACGGTGTCACGCCGACATGTCGCCATGTTGACGCCGGGTCACGCTGTCGCGCTGGCAGGCTCCAAGGCCAGTTCTGGAGCAGGTTCCCCTGGTCGTTGCGACGTTGTGATGTTTGCGCATATGTGGGCTCATGCGCTTTTCCAAGAGTGATGATGGCACATTGAAAAGGCTCACATGCATAAAGTCAGCAAGCGTCCAGCAAACACACAAGATTTGCTGGTGAATTTGCAATGTTGCTGTTGCCCAGTAGGCGGTTCATGCCCAGCTGCCCGGAGCCTGCTCCGGAACTTGCCTCAGACCCCCTAGCCTTCAAAGACCATTTAAGACTGACCTGGCTTTGTATCCCCCTGCCTGCAGGTTATAGGGATGAGGCTGTGTTAAGTGGACCTGCCGTGCCTACAAAAGCACAGTCCTGTCAAAACTGCATGTCTACAGAACCCTTAGGTCATTGTTGGCAAAAACGCGTCGGAGTCGAGATCCACAACACTGGTTAAACGAGGCTTCACGTCCTTTCAGGCCCCCCGTATTCGTGTGGGCAGGCCCACACGAAATGCAGACTTTGTGCTGCGATGTTCCCGAAAGAAGTGTGCTCGTATCTGGTTTTCTGCTTTCAAGGTTTCCGCTCTTTGCGGCGGTAGATCCACTGGTAAACTCTATTCCACAGCCTGGCATTCACCAATCCTTCGGATCGAGTCTTGCTTTGCAGCGGGATGAACTGCTTCATCCGAGACAACAGCCGATCCAGCTGCTGCGTGCCATGAATCATCTTCTTCGAATTAACTGTGGCATGCTTCGCCCATTGACTCTTCACATGCTTGACGTGTTTCACGGTCAAGCGTTTGGAAGGGTACTGTACTTGGCTGCAGCGGCTGACCATGCCTTTGCACCATTTGCATACAACACAGAACCCGCCCGAACATTCCGAAGCAAGCCTGCACGAATGTCACTTGCCCCCCTCTCCCCACATGTGTAACTGAACATCAACATGTTTGTCAACAAACATGAAAAACAGCACGCCTCTGGGGGGCCCGTATGGCCGTGACATTAAACAACAACCATTTCTTCCAAGGGCCCACGATTCCTTCACCCAACCAACGACCGCTGTCTTACATCGGTCTATGGCCTCTGGCAGCAAAGCAGCTACCTCTGGAGGAACCTCTGGAAGGAAGTGATGCAACTGGGTCGATTGGCCATCGGACCATCGGAGCAAATCTGGGCACCGTCTCTGACGCGCAAAGAACTGTGGCTCAGGTCCGTGCACACATTTTGCCAGTGCCGGCAATCTTGTTCCCCAGCACCTTGTTAGTCTAGCCGCAAGCAAAACAAGTAACTTTGCAAAGTTGATGTAGCATCACTCACTATTATCACTCTGTTCAGAAGTGGCCTCCAAGATCATGCAGTATGGCTGCCTCAGATGCACTCTGCATCCGCTTTCCCGAGTCGGAAATCAGTGATGTCGGCCAACACACCAGCGGCCGTCTTTCTCCAGGAACCCCAACGGAGAGCACGGAGGAAAGGCCACGATGCCATCGCCGATGACGTGGGCATTCCGCGTCTACCAAGGACAACACAACTCATAGACTAGACTTCTCGAAACAAAGATGTGTGGATTTCATGCGTCCTGTTGCATAAAACAAAGACTTCTGAGAATAAAAAATGTCTAGAAGTGAGTGGCTATAACATACATCAGACATCAACATCAACATCAACATTCATTCACCCCCTTGTTGCCACTGAATCCCCCTTCCTGCAGGCCTTGGCATAATCTCGGATCTTTCGCTCCGTGCCAAAGAGGTCGAGCCCAATCCTGATGGTCGCCCCTGACTGTCGACCCTGACGTCTCAGGTCTCATGTCTCAGCACTTACAGCGAAAACGCACTCTCTTCAGGTCTCTGCAGGTTGCCATTCCGTAGTGCAGCTTCTTTCGAGATGTGCATTCCTGCTATTCTCAAAGACAATAGATTGACTGTTCTCAAGAGTTTCACAGTGCCTCTTCCAACCTTCCCAACTGTCAAGTTTCTGGGCGACTACCAAGAACCTTTGTGTGTGTGTGTGTGTGTGTCGGTTCTCTTCCACATGATTATGAAGCAGAAGACCTGTGCTCTCTCCTCAATCTATGGGGCGGATGTAGGGTCTTTGGGGCTCAAGCTCATGCTTTGTCACCATTCTGCAAGATGACCGAAAGGGAAATGAGTCTCTTCCTTCACTCTTTTAATCGATAGCATCATGTCTAAGTCCGAACGCAGACTCTTTGGACACCAAATTCATGCATAGCAATTAGCAATGCATCGAATTCCTACAAATACCAAAGGGACACAGCTATGAGCATGTATGCGCTCATGAGTGCAGCACCCTCTAGCCAGTTCGACTCACCATCGACGATGGTGCTCCCAACTATCCTGAGAAAGGCTTCAAGAGTTGAGGTCTTGGTGCAACTCGACGACAAACATCGGCAGTGCTCGCTTGTTCTGAGAATGCGGTGCTGGAAGACATGAGGTGTTTCACACCGACCGGGTCACTGAGTCGACGAAAGAGAACAAAAAACGCTTTCAGAAGTGCTGAGACAAGCAGCAGAACAGTCAGGAGCAAGATGGAAACGTCCAGCCTCCAGCGAAAGCCGAGAGCGACTGGCCCCAACCCTTCCATGAAACCCGCAGGTCCGCTAAGCTCTCGGCGATCGGAAGTTCAAATCCATCGGGACGCCCAGGATCCAACCGATGATCACGGTAAAGGGTACCACGAACAACGCAATTTGTGTACTGCTTCCGAGAGCCACTCCCAGAGATAAATCCATCTTGTCTTTCGTCGCCACGGTGACAGCCGTCAGGTGTTCCGCTGCATTCCCCACCTCGTTTCGGGTCGTTTCGGGTCGTTTCGTCGGCCCGACAGTGGCTCCTTTCGGTGCTTCACATTGCTTGACCACGCCCATAACTCAGGATGAAACAATGGGAAGCAACACCACGCCCACGAAGGCATCTGAGATATTCAACGTCTTCGTCACTCCTTCCACGGAACCTGATTGCCAATGATTGTCAAAACAACACAAAAGCCATTTCCTTTGCTGGGCAGAACCGCAGAGAGCCCTACTTATGGCATCTTGTGACTGCAGTAGGTCGTCGCTGCAAAGGAATCTAGCGTGTCGGAGTCTTCAAAAAGTCAACAGCCTAGCAGGCCTGCCCTTTTGCAACGCACTGCAAAAAGTATTGCGATTGTGGCAGTGTTGGAGTTGACTCAGGGGTTGGAGCGAATGGGGAGCATTCAGCAGTCCCTTTACACACCGGACTGCGCCTGTGAGAGCCTCAGAGAGCGGCGCCACCAGCAACGTGGCCGCCACCAGCAAAGCCACTGCAGTCCCTGGGGATAAGCTCGGCTCAGCCTATCACATCCACAGAGTGTCTCAGCATGTCAGCAAAGGAACTGTCGGCCGAGGCACGACAGTTGGATCGACAATGGGTTGGAGGCAAGACAAAATAAAACACAGGACTTGAGATCATCCGCCTCCTCTTCGCAATCATCTTCCGTTTCCGCCGCTGCAAACTCATCCTGCCAAGCAGTGTGCGCAAGGACCTCTAAAATTCCAAATTCAAAGTTCAAAGCAAAAGCACGAGGGGGCCTCTAATTCAGCCCAGTTTGAAGTACGTATGTTACCTGGAGAAGCATACATACCCCAAACTCCTAGGTATATATGTAAGGGATCTAGCCGGGGTCTTCATGGGGAAGCCTTCAACACCTGGTAGTTCGAAAGCCTTCAGGAAGCGTGGTGAATCTGACCACGACCTGGTGAGCTTGACGCTCTGCTATGGTTGATACGCAGCTGATACATAGCTGACAGTCTGGCCTTGTGAGTGACCAGTTGGAAGATCAAATAGCATATATAGAGCACAGCAAGGACGATAGCCTTCAAGAACACAAGTTCTTTATTCCACAATGTTCAATCAAAATAAAGTACAAGGGGCACACCTGGATGCCTAGCTCGTAAATGTGCCAAGCAGCACATCCTCTAGAGATCAGCAACTCGCTCTCCGGTCGAACACCCGTGAGCAGCACCACAGTGGGGATGACCTCAAAACTCCAGCATGAAGATCTCTCTAGCGCAAGTACACGCCCATAGTGAAGCGAGAAAACTGCCATAGTGAAGCGAGACAAACCAAGGCAACACCTTGCACCTTTGTGAACATCTCAAAACGAGAACAAGATCGTATCAATCTAACAGAAGAATCTATATATATATATACAGTATGTTTGAACTGCAGACCCATGTTTTTCGATCGTTGCTTCACCATCCCTGAGAGTTTGGGGCGCCACCACTGGGTCTCCCACGAGGGCCAAGATGGCCAGCAAGAGGAGGGAGTACTGAGTCCGTGCTCCATTCGCATTGAAGCGCTGAGTCTGGTAGTTCAGTCCCCCAAAGAAAAAACACATTCCTCAAGCCAGCAATCAATCAGGCCAGCAAGCATGCCATGAATTCCGCAAAAGAAAAGAATCTTGCTGCAACCTAGCAACCAAGAACCAGCAGCAAATTTGAAATAATGCTACCAACCAAGCTCCCTTTGACGACCTCGGTCAATCAGCGACTCAACAAGGACCCAGGACAGGTTCCCCTTTGCTTTGGGAACTGGTTGTCGAGTCTTGGGGTGTCATCCCATCGGGAGATTCATCGCAATTGGACGTGGCCAAGATGCCTCCGTCAGCCCTTCGCGGAGTGCGAAAACAGATATGATCATTTCAACAGCATTGCCAAAGGTCGCGTTCAGCAGACCTGCCACAAGTCGAGACAAACAGAAGTCGCAGAAATTGGGTTGCGAAGAGAATAGCCAAAGAACAGTCATCTGTGAAACATAATTCTGAAACATTCTATTGCCCTTCGTCAACTGGAAGTTCCAGTTAGGCGGTTGCTAGTCTTTACTCATCCCTAGCCCGGCTAGTAAACATAGCAAACCAATCCAAACGGTTTGTTCTTAGCAGCCATGTCGGAACCTCCAAGAGTTTGCCCCACAGAGCAGGACAGCTGTTCGGTCGCCTCGCCCAGCCTCGGGACGGCTCGGGATGGATGAAGGGCCGATGACCGGTCACCTTCCACGACAAAAACCGGTGACCCAGAAAGACCTGTGGATGGTTTTTGAAAAGGTCTCTGGAAAAACCTATGCCCGAAAGAAATGGACATTCCAAAAAGAAAGAACCGCAACACGACCACACACCCAGTGGGTGAAGTGAATGCTCAGCTCCACCGAAGGCCGTGATACGAGCACGACCACGAGCAAGTGTTCCGTGCAAAGAATGCTGGTCCGTGCACCGTTCCGTGCAAGTGCGTCAACGTCACGTTCTGGGCGCATCAAAAAGACTTGCAAAACACATGTTGTCCAAGGGACAATTTCGCCAGGGGCACGATCGCTAGAAAGCAGAGTCCAAATGTGGCCACTTCGCCCCAGCCAAGACTTTGCGAGGCTAGGCCAAGCGGAGTAAAAACAAGCATCACCTGAGACACAGGAACTGGCCTTCTCTTTCCTCAAATCACAAGCCATGTCAGGTCCCTTGAACTTGAACGAATTGAGAGACAAATGAATCAAAACTGGCATGTTCTCAGTTCTGAACTGGCCTTTCGGTCCCCTACGTATCGGAATGCAGGAACCACTGCAACAAGGCCGATGAGAAATGCAAACATGAACGACCTATAATATATATATATATATTAGCTTCTTGTTACTAGTAGTAAGGCACTTGTTCCTAGTAGCTTCTTGTTACTACTAGTAAGGCACCTGTTACTACTAGCGTGGCACCTGTATATATATTATCGACCTATGGGAGCCACTAGCATGGTGGCTTTGAGGCTTCACCCCGCCATTTTGACTTGGCAAGGCACTCTCCCTCTGTACACCATTAAAAACACCTGTCTTAAATCAAACAAACAACTATCCGGGGAAAACACCAAACAGTGTTCAATAACACCTCAACCACTACCGTAGGAACCCCGAGTGTGACCACGCAGTTTGCGGAACAATGAACCACAGATTCGGGCCATGCGGGATACCCAAACAAGCGGCTTTGGAGTGGGAGACCCGGAGGCGCAAGACACTTTCAAGACACACACCGTCGGAAGCAAGGTTATTTTTTTGGCTTGGCCAAAGGACGTTCAAAGGATTGCCCAAGAATATGGTCTTGAGGCCTTCAAGATCACGGTCGAAATCAAACCAGTCCTTCATATCAGCGGAACGTTGCTTCGGGCGAGGTCGTCTTGTGAACAGCTTGTCTAGTACAAAACCAATCTCATTGCTGGCGAAGGGGATGGTGGTGTGGCTTGGCATTGAAGAATAAAGTTGACAATGATCTTAGGATTCCCCCAATGCAGTTGCAAAATCATAGAATTCTACTTCAAAGCGCAGTCACCTGAACTCAGTCCTGGGTACTCTCTTCTTCGTCTGAGGGTTTGCGACGGATCCGTCCAGCTCGCACCTGCCGCTACGCGTGCGAAGTAGCCGGTGATGTCCAAATGGATTCTAATAGCTTCTTGTCACTATTAGTAAGGCACTTGTTACTACTAGCGAGGCACTTGTTACTACTAGCGAGGCACTTGTTCCTAGTAGCTTCTTGTTACTACTAGTAAGGCACCTGTTACTACTAGCGATGCACTTGTTACTACTAGCTTTTTGAGGCTAATAGCGTTGACCCTCCCGGCTTTCTCACAAATCCAAAGCCCCACATGGCCGCACATGGCCAAGATTGCTGTGAATGTCTGGAGTTTTGTCGTGTGCCAAAGCATTGAAACCATCATCACGAATGAACGAATTGTGCAGTCGTGGAAATTTGCCAAGGCTCGCTCACCTGCAGACCCAAGCAAAAAAGGGTCTTAATTACGAGGGATAGGGGAGGTCTGCAAAGGAAACCAGGATGGGATGGGGATTCGAGGTGAAAAGTCGGCAAGCTGCTCACGGAATATTTCAACATGATAAGGAGATGCGATGAGAAGTCTGAGAGACACACTTGCCGACCCTCATGAGTTTGAATGTATGAGCCTGTGTGCGTTTGTGACCTATCCGAAATAAGGCAGTCATCAAGACTGTTCATGTGCCTTGTGGGCCTTGTAGGCAAACACACTGATCCTCGTCCGAACAAGCGAAGCACATCATCTGGCCTCAAGGACCTTTCCTTTCGATCCATCTTCGCCTTGTGCAGGAACAGCCTCAAAGTCAAACGTTTTTATGATCCTTCACTCAGTTCGATCACGACAATCTAGGTCGTTTGCTCTGAAAGGCCACACCCTCCGGACCACCTGCGACCCAGCGACCCGCAAACGAAGCCGCTGCCATCGCCGCGCTCCCAGCACCGCTGCAACAGTCAACAGCGCCCCCGTCGCGTTGACGGCGCCGCGGGGCACCGGAGCAGCGGCGCTGACGCCCGCGGCCGCCGCCCGGTGGCGCTCCAAAGGCCTAGAAGCTCGACAGAGGTGGAATCGGTGGGATCACTTTTGGATCCAAAAGTGAACACTGAAAACATCTGGAAACTCTTGTAGTGGCACTCAAATCGCCCTTGGTGGAAGATCGCATTGCCACCGCTATACGAACCAATTGGTGAAGCGCGCAGGTTATGTCAGTCAAGTAGCCTGAGTGCAATTTCAGCCGAGAGCCATGGGCTTGGAACTACAAAGGATGTGGCCATTTGAACCACGTGGCCTCTGGTGGCCGCTGGCTGCTGGTAGGATCACTGGCAAAGCACTGCAGCACTGCAAGTGACTTTGGGGATTTGTCTCAATGCAGCAAGAGTGTCTCTCAATGTGGATTTGTTCCATTGTTTAACTAGTCGGCATCCTACAGCTCAAGTCATCAGAGCCGCAGAATGGGCAGCAACCTCTCACCTGACCATTGACTGATGTTCAGAACAGGTCCTTTGGTGCCATAGGGCCATTCCATGCTGTTCACGGTTGGCCAATAGATCATGTCCTGGTCTTTCCGCAGCGGAATGTCAAACCTGAGCGCGGCGCTGCACGCCATCTGCGCAGAGACCGCCCGTCCGCTCGTCCGCTCCCAACACCGAGGCCTCCAGTAATCCAGGATGGGTATGCTGCTGTGCCTCGGCTGCAAGACCCCAAGACCAAGTGCTTCTGCTGCAGTTTTCCTTGTTGTAACTTAAGTTGTAACCTTTTCTTTTTGAGATGCTTACAAGCAAGCCCATTGAACAAAGCAAGTCCATGGAATTCACGAGCTTCACCTGTTTCGCCTCGTTTCTTTTCACTTGCACGCATCAAACCACATCTTGTGATGTACTCGCTTCCCTTGTTCCCATTTCACTGCTGTCGGGCCACTCATCCTGGTAGTCAAAAGGAGACATACCGTCTGCCATGGCGACTGCTCCGCCACGCTCCGCCAAGAAAGGCGAAGTTAAGAAGTGAAGAACGGCACGACTGCAAACGGCCTCTGCGAAGATCAGAACAAGAAGGCGCCTGCAAAATCGTGCCACTCTCTATTTGGAATGCACCTGAACTTACATGCGACAACATCTCTGCTGAGATGATTAAGATGTCTTTTTGCATGGCCTTATGCTGTCTTGTACCTGCCTTCTGCTTGCTTGAAACATCTCATCTCTGCATTAGCACTAAGGCTAAAGGTATCAGCAGACTTGAGCCTACGCACAAGGGTATGACATAATCGATCCAGTCCAGTCTATCGCAGAAAACACACATGGAGATCTTGACCCCGAAACCTCAAAGCCTTGTGGCGCTCTCCAGACCACTTTTTTCCATGACTACGCCCCGCTTTTCTTGGCTTCCAAGGCTCTCTCCAGCGCCTGGCCCACCAAGAACCAAGAAGAAGGAAAACAAAAGACTCCTCACCTGCTGCCTTCTGAGATTCAATGCAATTCTTTACATTTAAAGACATGATCACCTCGATTTGCGCCAGAAGCTCTCGCCGGCGCCTGGCCATTGGAACGCTCTTGAGTTGAGCTCGGAAGGGTCAAAAGTGGTCGAAGCTCGTTGTCAAATCCCAAAGATCTGGTACGGTTAACCTGTGGAATGGACTAACCTGTGGAGGGACGTGAACAGAGTGACCTGCATCACCCCAATCTGCATCGAAGCTGCTAGGGTGTCGACGTGCACATGGGAAAAAAAGAAGACCAAAAACTCCTCTTGCCCTCGTGTTTTCCCTTTTTCACCTCTACATCTCAGTGAAAAAGATTGAACAAGTTGCCCCCAAGCTCGCACCACATGTCCCAGGCACTCTCGCTGAGCGCCCACCAAATCCAAGTTGTCTAAACCCTCAGCGAGTCAAGAAACGTTGTAAGACCCGTTTATAGTTGTGTTAATCATATTTATAATTTCTACTGCATATCTTGTGCCACTTTAGATGCTCTTCCTTCAAGGACTGCCATGACCGAACTGCACTGAACGGGGCAACAAGCCAACAGGCCATGTGTCTTCACCTGAGGGTCCGACCGTTGAGGCTTTCACTATCAGGTCCTGGGCCAACAGAGCTGCCTCCAGGTTTGGACGAACCGGGTCGAATCGTCGAAACAACCTCTGTTTCGGGGGGTGCTGCACCGCCTACGCGATTGATCACGTTTTCCCGGCTGTTTCCGGCCTTCGTTTTGTTCGTCATATTGGTTGGCGTTTGATCATCTGCCCGGACAAAATGTATTTCTGTGCTTCTTTTCTGCATGGTGTTGCCAGCCTTTTGGGTCTCTTCACTCGTGGCAGCTGGCAATTGGTCCACGATGCCACGCGCCTGCATTGTGTGGAGGCAGTGGGCGGGATTGGTCAACAAGGCATGGCAAATGGTCGGGCCGCGGGTGTCCACAAAGTGCGGACGGATGACCAAAACACCAATGTTTCAAGTGTCCCAATTGGAAAGTGTTGTTCAAAGAGTTTGGACGACCAAAGCATAAAGTGCATTGAAATGTTTCCATGAACTTCCCCAGCACCTCTGAGACTTGTGCTTCGCAGCGTGACACCTCGCAGTGTGCTTCGCTACTCTAACGCCGGATGCACCAAAGCTATTCATCATGTGAACTCACAACAAAACAGGCAAGAACAGCTGGGAATTGCTACAGCAGCTGGGATGTTACCCACGAGCGCTTCAGCTTGGCACCTCTTCCGTCCCATCGATTCCAGCAGGAGCCATCAACATGAGGCTTACAACCTGCCATTGTCCATGCTTCATACATGAGAGTGAGTACTGCATAGTAGCCATCCAATCTGCGAACATCTGAGCAAACGTTGCTGGCTTTCTCTCCAGCCTTCATGGCATCTACCTCTTTGACACCCTGCACGGTGTCCGACAGAGAATCCATGCAAAATTGTGCAGAATCAAACTCAATTCAATGGCAACCAATCAGTTGAATTTTCAACATCAAGGTTCCGTGGAGGTGCGGGTAGACAGAATCAAGTTTGAAAGAAGCTTGAACCCCAGAATGGCTGGCCCACAAAAACCAATACCCCGATCTGATCACATCTTCTGCCTGCCGCAAGCAAGCATCGAAATGTATCAAAATGTGGTGCCCCTCACTTCACACAGTGGGCCATAGTTGCCCAATTCGGCAAGGTCTGGGGAAGGTCGTGGTGTACCTCCATCAAGGTCTGGCGAACACCGGCCTTGGCGCCGGCCGCCTCAAGGACGGGCAGCCCGTCCTCGAAAGCCAAGCCTACCGGCGTCGGTCGAGAGCTCCCCAGGTCAACCGTGGCGACCACCAACGGAGTCTGCTTTGGGGCTATCAGACCGACCAATCACTCAGAGTCAGAGGCTTCTGTTTTTGGTTTCCAAAGCTTGAAAGAGAACCATGTGTTAGTGACAAACACGCGGATCAATCCTGGTGGGAAGTTGGGCTGTGCCATGATCATGGATTGCCCAATTATATAAGTGAACCTGGTCAAACAACGAGGCACGCCTACACGTGCCTTGGGTGAGATATTGAATCTTGGTCAAGACTCACGGTGTCACCATGTTTCAGCCAAATGAGATTCATGGTAGCTTGGTGAGTTTTCCCGCGGTCAACTGCACAAAGGGCCTTAGATGGTTTGGCTTCATGGCCGGCCTTGCCATCGCCGGCCAGCACATATCAGCGACTGCTTGGACTGCAGATTCGGATGGAGCAAGGAGATTGGGCAGGTCAGAACGACGAAATCCGACATGTTTCTATGAGATACTTACAAGGACGGCGCTTCCTTCTATCCTGCAAACGGGGTCTGTCTGCAGTTTCTGCTGTTCGGTCAGAGCTCAGCAAAATCTATACAGCTCAGCTCAAGCAACAACTGCATCATGAGCAGGTCATTTGCTCCGTGAACTACCACGCAAGCTAGACCTCACTTTGGAATCTCATGCAGCAAAGATCGCTTTGGCCTTGGCGTAGAGTGCCTTGCCCTGTGCTGTCTTTCCACCCACAGCACAGAAGCCCTTGATGCCCAGCTCCTTCCTGGCCTTCTGACAAGCGATGGTCCAGGCAGAGATGTTCTTGTAGGCCTTCTTGCCAGCGGCATTCTGCAACTTTGTCACGATCTTGCCTCGTTTGTTCTTCATGAGATCCGATTTGCCATGCCCTGA